CTTTTTTCTTATTCTTTCAATTGGGATATATAATGTTCAGAGCTCTTGTATTTGGAAGCTGGAAGAAGGGCCCGAACTTTGACATAGTGTCTTGGTTTCACTGTTTTGTTGTTTTTTGTTTTTGTTTTTGTTTTTTAAACTAAAGCTATATGAAGCTTGTGGATTAAACAATAAATTTCTAAATTTAAAAATATTTGCCACTTATTTTCTTAGTGCCAAAGGAAAACTGCTTACAATTTTAACTTTGGGCAAGGAAGGTGCAGGTGATGAAGGATTCACCATCTTTTTTAATAATTACTGTGCTGAAAACTAAAGAGAAAGCAGAAGGTGCAGTTAGAAAGTGCAGACAGAGGCCGGGGAGATGGCTCATTAGAATAAGCACTTCCCTGGCAAGCGCAAGGGCCTGAGTTCAATCCCCGGTTCTGCCAAAAGAGAAAAAGAAAGTGCAGACAGTCACTGGGCAATGAGCAGTGGGGATGAGCTTCAAGACTGGCACTGTTCAGAAGGGACTGAAAGCTGAGAGCGAGCGAGCATGTGTGCATGCGTTTGTATAGGGTCTAGCTGCTCACGAATGAGTCAGATTCAGAGATTGGAATTGCTAACAGCCCAAGTGTAAAACAGCAACATTCGTGTGAGAAGAGCTGGTTGTGATGGTACATGCCTGTAACCCCAGCACTCAGGAGCCTGAGACAATTCCTCTATTGACCAAATACGGAAGAGGAAAGTTTTGACAGCAGAGATGTGCGCTGGGCATACAGCTCAGCGGGACAGCACCTGCCTGTCAAGCACACAGGCCTGAGTTCGATTCCTAGCACCAAGAAAAAGCCTGAGGTCTGAGCATTTCTACTCCCTGCTAGAGATCTCGCCTTGTCTGAATTGATGGTTTATAGATAATTAATTTGATTATTTCTGATGGAAGCACAAATAGCAGTGTGCCTAGATGTTAATTTCAGGAAGCATGGGGACTTTGTCTTTCAGTGTTTGGGCTGTACACGGCTTTGAGAGTGAGGAGCTGGTGACAGTGGCCGTGTGCAGTGACGGACGGGCTGTAGGTGTAGGCCAAGCTGATGGGATCCAGGGCTGCTCACAGAGGAAAGGAGAACATGGTAGTAGCTGAAGCTTTCAGGGCTCTTCTGTGTAGCTTCATTTTTTTTTTTTTTTTTTTAGCTTCATTTTGATTCTCTTAATTCTTTAATATCATGAAAATGGAGAATATCCTATTTCTGAAATCATTACTGACTTAACCCCCCCCCCCCTTTGCCTTTTTAAGGTGGTCTTGCTATGCAGTTCAGGCTGGCCTTGGCCTCATTTCGTAGCCCAGTATGGTCTTAAAAGTTTCCTCCTACCTCAGCCTCCTAAGTGCTGGAATTGCAGGGGTGTGCCACCAAGCCCAGCTTTGATTTACTCTTTCTGACATAAACCAAGGCAAATCATTGGGGTATTTTCATCTAGTCATTTATTCATCCAATTTTTTTTTTTTTGCGGAACCGTGGACCAGCCCCATCCGATCAATTTTTATTCACAGAACCCACTCACACTAGACAGTCCCATAAATGTGTTTTACAGTCCCGTAAATGTTTTTGTTATAGTTAAACTAACCCAGTGGCAGCACTTAGAGGCTGAGACAGGAGAAACAAGTTTGAGCCCAGCCAGTGCAGCTCAGACCCTGTCTCAGAATTTTAAAAGGCGTGGGTATGTAGGTGAATGCAAAATTCCTTGATTCAGTAATAAATACAGAAGTAACCAGTAACCTACTTTGCAAAACTTTGGGTTTTTTGATTGAGCTGAAGTCGCTGCATAGTTCCAGCCTGGCCACAAATTTGGGTCATCCTCCTGCCTCTGCCTCCTGAGTGTTGGAATTATGGTCATGCACCACCAAACCCAGCTGGTCACCTTCCACCAGCACCTTGGGTTCAACAGTGATGAGACGCTTGCGTGCTCAGGAGATTTCACACTTCTACCTGGACGATTTCTGAACTAGCCAGGCCAGGCTCGCATCAGAGCCTGACACGAAGTACTCCCATCCGAGCTTGAGTGCCTACAGCCCCCACACTGGGAATTTCCATGCCAGCTGTGTGCCTCTCTCACGTTGCAGTTGCTGAGGTAACAGGTCATGGTACACCAAGGCCCCGCCCAGCACCCAGCCAGTGTGCACAGTGATGACATTAGAGGTAGGTGTCAGGGCAGCAGCCAGACACCAGAGGAGGCCAAGCCTGGACTGTGTGGATGGGCTTCATCCCAGTAGCATCTGGGGAGCATCTCTCCTAGTCCTGCTCAAGGCAGCATTACACCCTTCCTTTCACAGCTCCCATCTGCCATCCTTCACAAGGCCTGCCCAGGCAAGTCATCACCCCACATCCCTGGGGCCGGCCCCATTGGTGACCGTAATCAGGGTGCCTTTGTATAGCATCCACATCCTTGACTGCACCTGTGCCAGTCCCATCTGCCTACAGCTTCTGGACCCCTTTGATGGTCACCTTGATGGCCAAGCAGACAGGCCTTTCCATTCCTACAGGGTGGCTCCCAGCTTCTCTTAGGCTCTGCTTCACCTCTTACAGCGCCCTAGTTTGCAGTCCCCAGCAAGTGTCCAGCACTGAAGAGTATTTTCCACAGATAGGTAAGTCCTTAGCCCCTTGATTATTTCTGATATTTTTTGTTTCTTGAGACAGGGTCTCACTCTGTGGTTCAGGCTTTTGGACTTGCAGTGATCCTCTTGCTTCAGCCTCCCAGGGGCCACAATGCTTGGCCCCTAGTCCCTTAATGTTAAATGCCATTGTTATGCTACTGTACAAGATCTCTTTCCTGTCCCCCTTTTTTTTTTCTCGGAACTGGGGATTGAACTCAGGCCCTTATGCTTGCCAGGGAAGCACTTTACTAAGCCATCTCCCCAGCCCCTCCTGTCTAACTTTTTGAACTCAACTCCTATCCAGTACCTTGTTGGTAACACCCTTTGGATGTCTTCAAAGGCATCCCAAAATGCATAACAAGTCCAAAGCCATAACAAGTCTCATAGGCCATCCCCTGCATCTACTCCATTTCAGTTCCTGTCACCATCATTTATTCAAAATTGAAGCGCTGGAGCTGTAGCTCAGTAGTGGAGGACTTGCCTAGTATGGGTGAGGCCCCCGGTTCGGTCTTTAGTAACACACATACATAAATACACAGACACACATAGAGGAATCCTTAGTGGCAATACTGTCCGTTCCCAGTATACATCTGTGCCCTTCTGTCCCAAACAGTCCGGGGCAGATCATATGTCTGCTCAGAAACCTTGAATAGCTAGCTGGGTACCATTGCCACATGTCTGTCGTCCCAGGTACTGAGGAGGCTGAAGCAGGAGGTTTTCTTGAGCCCAGTTCAAGACCAGCCTGGGCAATACGGGGGGCGGGGATTTCATCTTAAAAATACCTAATGGGATTGAGCTGAACCTGCTTTGGCAGATTTATTGCCACTCAGTCTGCTCCAGCCACACCGGCTGCTCTTCTCTGCCTTAAATCCAAGTGGATGTCTCTTCCAGGACCTTTGGCTTCCCTGCTAGTCTTTCCTCCTGGAAAGCCCTCTGAATTTTAGTGTGTTTCCTCACCTGGTTCTCTGACATTTCTCTAGTTGTTTCTCTTTCATTTTCCTGCATGGCAGTTATTGCTACCTAAAATGATACAGTTTTGGACCCCAGGAATTTGGTCGTATTTGGGTCCTCAGCTGTACACAGCAGAGGCACAAGTCTGCGACACCCACTGAATGAACGCACTTGTTGGCTGTCGTTGTCGTCCCTGTGCTTACAGGCACTACTAGGGCTCGAAGTAAAGCAAATGCAGAGCCCTGAGGAGCCTTGCCACCTGGGGATGGGGCAGGCACTCAGCTTGCAGGCTGGACAGAACTGAATGGGATCTGGCCGATCTGGATTTCTGCCATGCTCTCTGCCCTGCAGCCTCGAGGGCAGGGACCTCCACGTGCTGCTCTCCCCTCTCCTGTACAGCGAAAAGTTGGAATCTGCCTGTAAACCAGTGATACTACCAAGCATTCCTGTTTTGACTAACAAGACATATATCCATTCTAGTGATTATGGCGAATTTAATTTGATTAAGTTTTTGAGACAGTGTCTTGCTATGTAGTCCGGCTTGCTTTGAACCCACAGCAATCCTTCTGGCTCGGCCTCCTGAGTGGTGGGATTACAGGTGTGCACCACCACACCCAACTATATATGGTTACTCTTACAGGTTTTTGTTTTTTGTTGTTCTGGGATTAAACTCAGGCCCTTGCTCTTGCCAGGGAAGCGCTTACTCCACTGAGCCATTTTCCCGGCCCCTACGGTTTTTGGTTTTTT